AGACCCGCGCAACTTGGCCACGGCTAGCACGGCTGGAGATGGCGCCTTTTCGGTCACGCAGTCATCCCAGTTGACATGGCGCCATCCTCGAGGGAGGTCAGGGGCGCGCGGGGCGGGGGGCGGGCGGCGCGCGCCAGATTGATGTCGGGTCGCGCGGAGAGTCGCTGTGCACTGCGCTCGCAGGATCTTCTCTGCCGCGCCCGCATGAGCCTGCCCCGCGCGCGGAGGCACGCCCAGGCATCTTCCGACCCAGAAAGAAAAGCAGTGCCAGCCGAAGGCAAAGCCAACGAACATTCAGCCAGCTGAATGGGCAACGCGGCCCCCCCCCCCCCCGCCCCACCCACCACCCCCGCGCCCCGCCCCCCCCCGCCCCGCCCCACCCTGCCCGCCGCCCCACCCCCGCACGCACGCGCGCACGCTTGCGCGCGCCCTAGACTTGGAGGGCCCTGACCCCATGGAGGAGATGGAGGAGGGCCCCTAGCAGGATGATGGAGGTCCTAGACCACTGCGCGGAGGAGGTGGAGGAAGCGCCCGAGGAGATCTTAAACGCCAGAACTTCGGAAGGATCCGTGGAGGAGCACGCGGGCTAGAAAGCAAGACGCGGTCGAGAGCCCCCAGCCGCTTGAAGATGGGCCTGTCCGCGTCAAGGGCGCGCCGCTGCAATCGGCGAACAGCGACTGCAATTGGCGGTCGGTCGCCCACTCGCGCCTCGGCTTGTCGGCGCGCGTCATGGCCAGAGGTTCGAACGGCCAGGCAGCGATTGAGCAGGTCATCGCAACGCAGCGCCAGTGCGACACCAGTTCCATGAACTGCTCGGCGCGCGCCCACGACGGCATAATCTATCTCCGAGAGGCAGCTGAGCCGCCCTGCGAATGCAGCAGAGAGAAATTGTCGAAGGCCTCGAGGGCGGTAGCGAGTAGCGGCCTCGAGGAGTTCACAGCGCGAGCCCACGACGCCAGCAGCCTCGTGGAACTCCACAACATGATTAAACTTAGGCTTGTTCACGGAGCAGAAGAATGGGACCTCGGGCAGCTGCCGCGGGCGCGCCCCACAAGCTCCACGGCTAGCGTCGTGACCGCGTGGAAGAAGCTGTGGATTTCGTCAAAATCGTTGACCTCCGTAGCCATTTTGGCTCAAGTCCGTAGCGGTGGCTCAGAGGACTTAGAGTTTTTGTGGCAAGGGGATGTGCGGCCCCATCTCGAACTTCAGTGCGTTTCTGATACTCTTACTGGGGCTTGTCCCCGCCATTTCTGCCAACGCGTTCGTTTCAGGCACTCTCTGTACTCGTGTGCGATGGCGCGTAATGCTTCTTCTCTCGGTGCTGACGCTTGGGTTTATCGCCCGTGGGTTCGGCAGGGGGGAGGTGGCGGCGCTGCGCACCGCACTCCACAGTCCAAGAGTGCACGTCCGTCCTGCGGCTGTCGTCGCAACCTGCCGCATTTCAAGTGGTGTAAGCACTGCCATTCCGATCTGCCGAAGTTTCAAGGTGCCCCTGTCCAGCGGGCTTCTGGTGCATGGGCGCGAGGCTCCGGGTCTGCTGAAGAGGAGGTCGAGGCGCTTGTTCGCATGGGCGGCACGGGCAAGGGAGGGCGCCAGGGCCGAGGCAAGAAGGGCAAGGGCAATGGCTCCGAGCTTGCAGCTACAGGCAAAGGCGATCGGGCTGTGGCTCTTCCCGACGTTCCACATCGAGCGCTTCCGCCTGGACCAGTGCCCCGCTTGTCCGCCGTCGAAGCCAAGCAGCTCGCCGAGTTGCATGCGAAAGCTGGTGAAGAGCAGTTGGCAGCCAAGTACCGCGCCATCGCCGTCTCCCTCGACAAGTCGGAGCGCGCCCCAGCGCCGTCTCTGCAGCAGCAGGTTCAGTCCGCCCACGCTGCTGTCCGTCGCAAGGAGCGGGCACTGCAGGTCGAGTTCTCGAAGCTCAATCGTTGGAGGGCTGAGCTGGAGGAGCAGCGTAAGAAAGTGGCTGAGCTTCATTCTGAGTTGGGCGATGCAGACGCCGCATACAAGAAAGTCGCTTTGGAGCTGCAGCCGCAGGTGCCATCTGAGCCAGCACCCGCAGCTGTGGCCCAGGTCACTCTCGAGCAGCTGGTGGACGGCACCGTCTCCATTGACAAGATCATCTCGACAGACGTGCTCGAAGTTGCCGATGACGCCTACGACCTTGAGGAGCAAGACCGCAAGGAGATTCAGCAGCGTAAAGATGAGCTGTCCGAGAAGGTGCGTGAGGCAGCCAAGTCATTGTTCCAAGATGCTTTATCGAAGATCAAGGAGGCCAAGGAGCAGCACTCCAAGCACCTCGAGAGGCCCGGCAAGAAGCGCAAGACTGGAGCTGGCAACGTCTCAGACGCCGCTACGTTGGGAGGCGAGGCAGCTGCAGCAGGAGAAGGGTCTGGTCAGGCTACAGGGGCTGGGTCGTCGAGTGCTTCCTCTTCGGTTTCACGGCCTGAGCCTCCTGAGCCTGACATTCGCACATTGGTTGCAGGCGAGCTTTCCAATCCTCTCCCCCTCCCTGGGAAGGGAGGGGGGCAGCAATTCCATTGATGTGCGTGAGATTCTGCCGCTTATGAATGGCAGTTTTGCTGAGCTAGACAACTTTCTTTTGGAGATACACGCTTGGATGAGTGTCCCCAGCGATGTTCCCAGGAGCTTTTGCACGCCTGCCACCAGCAGGAGGCTGAAACGGGAGTATTGCATATTCCTGGCTGCCGCGCCGTTCGAAGCGCAGCCCATTTCACTTTGGCCCGTCGGCAAGGCCAACTGCATCTCCCCCCCCCAATCTGGCCAGAGCCCAGGACCCAGGTGAGGACCAAAGGGGCGTCGTCAGTGTGGCCTTGGAGGTTTGGTCTGTTAATTGCAACAAGCGGGGCACGATGAAAGTCTTCTTGGAGGGCCCCGACTGTTCGGCTCACATCATCCTATGCCAAGAGCATCGTCTTAGGGACCCTGAGTCGATCGACCGTGCCTCCGCCTCTGCGATTCGTGCGGGCTGGAAATCCATTTGGCTGGCTGCAGCTCCAGGTCCGCAAGATGGAGACAGTGCTGGTGTGGCCATTTTTGCCAGGTCTTGGCTTGGGCTCCACTCTGTGCCTTCCCCAGCCATTGCTCGGGGCCGCTGCCTAGCCTGCAAGCGTCACGCCCCCGACAGCCCAGCGCTACTGCTGGCCTCTCTTTATCTTCACCACTCCGCGGGGCTCGACGCCTCCAACGGGGGCATCAGCGACCTGGGGGAGTTCGTGAGCAGTCAGTCGGAAGAATACATCATAGGTGGGGACTTTAATTTCGGGCCAGACTTATTGGAAGGCATGGGATTTGCTAAAGCTGTGGGGGGTCTTCTCATCACCACCCCCGACCATGCCCATTATCCTTCCTCGGGTGACCCGCCCAAGTTTGATTACTTCGTGGTCTCGTCCCCCCTGGCCAAGGGCCTCAATGAGGCCAAAGTTCGACTCGACACGACGCTCAACCCCCACCGCCCTGCGTCGCTTATTTTTCACCCTCGTCTGCTTCAATTGAAGGCCCTCGCCTTTCGCAAGCCGCCGCCCCTGCCTATGGACCCCCCGTTCGGCCCCAGGCCGCAGGAGCGCAGCACTGATTGGGATCTGGTTCTTGATCTGGTCAATACTGATGTTGACAGAGTGTCTCTTGGGGACGGTGACGGGGCCGCGGCCCTGCTCTCTGAAGGGCACGGTCTCTGGGCGAACAGAGCCGAACTTGATCTTGCGAGGGTCCTGGCGGCCGATCTCCCTGTCTATGGGTCACGCGGCAAAACTGTGGAGACTTATTGGAAGCCCATCTGTCAGGCGTGCTCTCCTCCCAAGGACCCCGTTGCCCGCGTTCTGATGTGGTTGGAGACCCAGCTCAAGGCCTTGAGATCTGAAGTATTAGCACACAACGTTCCACAGCGGTGCATCAAGGCCTTGTGCTCTACGCCGTTGTGTGTTGGCACGGCTGGCGCCTGTCATGCTGGACTCTTTCAACGTGCCACCAGCTTAGCCGCCTCCTGTGCTGATCGACTGGTTGGCCGCAAGTGCTCGCCTGTGTGCTCGGCTCCTCCTGGAGCCCCCCCCCCCGTTTTGCCCGTCGCGCTCGAAAATCAGTGTCAGGACAAGGCGGATCTGGACGTTCGGCCCCCGCCTGCTATCTCGGATTTTGTGGCTGATGTTGATCAGCTGCTCGCCTCTCTCGCGCCATGCCTAGAGGAGGCCGCTAAGGACTTTGCTAAGGCCAACAAGCGCCGCTGGCGAGAATGGCCCCAAGAAGGCTTGGACAAAGGGGGCAGACGGGCCCATCGCGTTCTTAGAGACCCCACCCCTTGGGCTCCCTCGGTCACCATTGCGGCGAACGGCCAAATTGTGGCGGACCCCAGGGCCCTTCTGTCTGCCGAAGGGAAGCGCTTTCAGGCGTGGTGGGGGGAGGGGAGCGGGCCTCCTGTGGGCCCTGTTCGGTTGGTCACCCCCCTGCCCCGTCTTTCCCCATGTGAGATCCGCCAGGTCTGCAAGACCTACCGTAAACAGAGTGCGGTTTCGGTTGACGGCTTCCACCTTCGGCACTATTCGGTTTTGTGTGATGCCGCCTTCATTGCCCTCTCTGGGCTCCTGTACGTCATTGAAGCCACGGGGAGGCTTCCTAATCAGTTAATGGTTGTGCTTTTGGCCCTCTTGCCCAAACCTGTTGGGGGCTTCAGGCCCATCGGGGTTTTTCGTTTCGTGGTATCGGCCCTGGGGCCGTGCCAGGGGGCCTTTTGCTCTCGATTGGGAAAAGAAGTTCGCGAGGCCCTATTGGGCTGCTGGGGCCAACAGGGGCGCCACTGATGTCGTCTGGAGGCAGAGCTTCAAGGCCGAAGCGGGTGTCACCAAGGGCCCCACTTCAGGGTCAGTTTTCTATGACCTTCAGAAGTACTACGAGAGCATCTCCTTCGATTTTCTCGAGAATCAGTGTCACTGCCTCGACTTTCCTGTTGTGATCACCAGGGTTGCCATGGCGGCCTATCGCCCGTGCAGGTTTCTCAGCCTAGGGGGCATCATCGAGGGGCCGTACTGGGTCAGCTCTGGGGTCGTTGTTGGGTGCTCGATGGCCACTTCGTTTATCCGTGTTTTCGCCCTTAAGGCCTTCGATAAGTTGTGCAATGTTCTGGCTAGTGGCACTGATTTCGACGCATACATCGATGGCACGTGCCTCTCGCACACGGGCACGGTCCCCGAAGTCGTAGAGGCACTAGTTTCTTCCTCGGTCAGCTTACACAAGGCTGTCACCCAGGAGCTTGGTTGCACGCTGGCGCTTGGCAAAGTGGGCTGCGTGTGCAGCCACAAGCCAATAGCAATTCAGCTCGAGGAGCGACTGGGAGAGTTGCGCGGCAAGCCCTCGTCCTCGGTGGTTAACTTGGGTACTGACTACACGGCAGGCCGCTCATTGCGCACCGCTACCCCAGGCTCCTAAAAGGGTAAATCAGCCAAACTTAGGCCCGTCAGGCCAAGTTTTTCCGTCAGTGCAGGCGCCTCGACAAACGCAAAAGCAACCTGGGCAGGTCCGCTGTCAGGATTTGTGCGTCGGGCCCGCTGGCGGGCGTCACCTTTGGGTCTGAAACCTGGGGCGTTTCGGACCGTGAGCTCCACTCGCTCAGGGGCAAGGGCATGGCCACTATCTCTCCCAAGTCTCAGCGCCGTCCCCTCACCACCCTCTCGCTCCTTGAAGGGGACCCCCCTTGGAGGGCGAGCGTGGCCCCTATCATTCGCTGGTGCAAAGAGCTGCGGCTTGTGCAGACAAAAGCTTTTGATGGGGCCCTGCCTTTTGCTGAGATGCGCTCGGCCTGGGAAGTCACTTTCAGCAGGGGTGACTGGTCCTGGGCCAAGGTGAAGGGTCCTGTCTCGGCCCTTAGGATGTCCTTATATCGAGTTGGGTGGCAGATGACCGACTTCTGCACCATCATCACTGACTTGGGTGAGACCCTCCAGCTCTTGTTGCTGTCCCCCCGCCTTGTGGGGGCTTTGTCTCGGGCTGCCGTGTTGAGGGGGCTCGAACGGTCTTCGGGGGGAAAGCTGGGGGCTGAGCACAGGCTCTGCTGGGACACTGTCAAATCCAGAATCAGGTCCACACGCACCAGCCCTAAGGATCGATCGACGATGCGAGCTTTGGCCTGTAATGCTATATGGACCGCCAGCTCTGCGAAGCTAGCTGGCTACCAGATTAGCGACATCTGCCAGCTGTGCCACTCCGAGGTTGACACATTGTGGCGCCGTCTTTGGGAGTGCCCTTCGTGCTCTTCTGTGCGTGAGGAAATTGCTGATGCTGAGATTATTGCCAGCGCTCTCGACACTGAAGCGGAGGGTTGCGAGGCCACTCTCTGGATATATGGAGCCTTTCGGCACCCTGGCGATTACTTCCCACGGCCCGAGAGCAATGGAGAAGTCTTGGTCAACTGGATGGTCCCTGAGGTCACTATCCCTGGGCCCCTGGGTCCCACGCCTACCTCTCCTGACTTAGGGGTCTGGGGGTCCTTGTTAATAGATGGCTCGTGCATCCGCCACCCTGTTTCTGAACTCTGCAGGAGCGCTTGGTGTGTTGCCATGGTGGACCCCGAGGCCAATCTTGTCTGTGAAGTTTCTGCCCCAGTTCGGCCCCCCTACGCGCAGTCGCCCCAGGCTGCTGAGTATTCCGCCTTTTGTGGCATTGGCGTGTGTGTAGGGGGCCAGGCTGATGCTTACAGTGACTGTGCTAACGTCGTCAATCAGTACTCCCTACGCCTCGATGTATGCAAGTCTCCCAAGAGGGTTTATTCTGGGCTCATGTTGCAAGGTTTGTCTTTGGGGCAAGGGAAGCTGCGCTCTCTGGCCAAAGTCGATGCCCACCTCGATCCAGATGCCCCTGGCCTCTCTGCGGATGAAAGGTTTTTTGAGGAAGGGCAACGAGCTAGCAGATGCTGGAGCCAAGCGTGCAGTCGCCCGACACCCCACCTTTGATCCCAATCTGTCTCAGGAGCTCGACTGGAAAATTAAGGTGTCTAAGACGGTGATGTCCCTTGGTGCTGCCCTCCTCCCCCTTTGGCCTCGTGTGGAGTTCCTTGGGGTGGGGCGTGTTCCTCGTCCTCCTGCCCCTGCCGTGCATCGGCTGCAGCACCAATGGGAACTCATCAGTTCGGTCTGGAGGTGCAGAGTTTGCCTCCTAGGGTCTCTCTCTAAGTGCCAGCCTGAGCCAGGGGGGTGCAGGGGCCACTCCAGGCTTGATTCTGCTGTGTTGGACAGGTTGGGGCATAAAGTCATTGCTCTGGCCTGCTCCGATAATTCATTTTTGTTCACCTGCCTGCGCTGCAGGAGTTACAGTTCTGGGGCCCAGGTTAAGAAGCTGGGCCAGGTGTGTCAGCCGCCGACGGTCACAGGTCACAAGAACTGGAGAAGGATCCAGAAGGGCAGCCATCCAGACAAACCACACGTGGTGGTAGAGACTGGCTGCTCGTTACCTGTCTCGGCGTCGCTCGGTGCTCACCTCTTCCTCTCCCCCCCCCCCTCCCGCTCTCGCCCCCCCCTCAGGGGCGAGGTCAGGTCAGGCCCCAGCCGCTGGAGGCCGGCCTGCGCAGCGCGCCCCGCCAGGCGGGGCCCTCGCTGCTTCGGAGGGGTCTGGGGAGGAGGATGAGGCTGCGCGTTTCATTTTTTCGGGGCCCTCCAGGAGTGAGCTTCAGCAGGTCAGAAGGGGGCTCGCTCGCGAAGATGACGAGGCCCCTCTGTTTGGTGTCCAGTCTCGGTTTTCGAGCGTTTCGGACTGAGCCCCGTTTTAACCTGCCAGGGGTGTCTCGCTCTGTCAGGTCCAGATCATTCCTGAGACATTGCCGTGGACGGCAAAAAAAAAGAAGTCAAAATCGTTGACCGCATCGAGAAGTGCTTCGAGGGGCGCAGGAGGAGGGCCCGAGGGAAAAACGCGGAGCTCGAGTACATAACCGTCGCCGAGTTGAATGGGCCCCGAGCCAGGGCCCCTGAAAGCAATATCGCGAGGCCACCTCAACATTCGGCCCAGGGATATCCTGGGGCTGCCCCTCGAAACCAAGAAGAGCCTGATAGAGGCCCCCAGGGTCATCGAGGCGGCGCCGGCGTGGCCGCGGCGGCATCTGCGAGCCGAGGCATCTCTCGCTCCGAAGGAGAACGGCGCGGACCCTTCGATCGCGACGTTTGCCTTGGCCGCCAGATCTTGGGAGCCAAGCGCAGGGGGGGGGGGGGGCGGGGGCGAGCGCGGACAGGCGGGCGACGGAGAGAGCGAGGCAAGCGCCGTCGGATGATAGAGTCCAGGGAAGCACGGCAGCTCAGGCAGCACTACGCAGGCTCTGTTTTGACGAGTGCGCGACTGACTTGGGCGTCGCGCGCGCATCTGTTCTCACAGATGTTTTGGCCTTTCACGACCCCCATCAACCCCATCTCGCCAATGAGCGTCGGAGAGAACCTAAGCTGCCCTATGCGGGGCACTGGCGTTTGAGATTGGCGTGCAACTTGCACCTAAGTAGGAATTCCGCAGCCGCCAGAGTTTCTCGGGCGCACTCACCCCAGCGCGGGGCATTCTACCATGACGCAGGGCAGCGCAGGACGTGGCGGCAGCGACTCTGCACCAATGCTGCTGCTTGCAGGTCCGGCCCACAGGTAGAAGCAATGAGAAATCGCGACGGCCCTGAGCGCGGAGCTGACAGACCTCTGCCTTGAGCTACTCATCAATTCCAGGATCATGCGTTCGCCGATCAGAAGAGCGATCGGGATCGCAAAAGAGATTGACAGAATAGGGATATGCATTGTAGCGCAAGGCTCAGCGCGTGAGCTGGGTGGTCGCTCGGAGAGCTCGTGCACGCGCGAGGAGTCCTAAAGGACAGACTAGGCACGCTGCAGCGATCAACGCATCGAGAAGAAAGACGCTCAGGGTCCAGCTCTTCAGAACGGGCGCCGCTCCACAAAGCTGATTCAAACTTAAGTTTTCTGGGGCCAGTCGCTCCTAGGCGCGCAAATTAAGGCAGCTGGCGGGACAGATTCCGCAGTGTAAGAAGCCAGGCAGGCGCCGAACGATGCCGCTAAATCTGAAGATCGGGACCAACGACTCAGGGGAAGCAGCTGTCCTGCAACTGCACACCGGATGGTTTCGCTTCGCCCCGTATTGCTCTAACTGGACCTTCGCACTGACAGGGGTCGGGGGAGGGGGCTCTAGAGTTATGTCGGGCCTGTCCATCTACACGAGGAATATTCAAGAATAGTCTAACAATAGTCTGGTGACGAGGCGTTGATTATTACACATTTTGTTTGGCGTATTTTTGGAATAAAAACGATTCAGGATGAAAAACCGGTCCTGGGGAAGGGGTCCAGACTTCCGGGGGTCGACGACATGAAAAAGTCATGACGTCGGGGGTCTGGGTTTGAAGGTTTTGACCAGTCCAATTTGTTGACGGCAGTGGCCAAGTCCGCCGACGCCAGCCTGCGGCAGCAGGCAGCCACATTTGACATCGAAGCAAGTCTTGCGCAGTGCAGGGACAGGGACATGCACAGTTCCCGAATGATCTCGAGGAAACGCGGGGGACTGCGGGAGCACGCGCTACGCGGAGCCCTTCCATCGACGGCCCGCGGAGGACGGCGGGTAAAAGCGAGCATCCCTGAAGCCGCCGCAGGACAGAGCCAGAAGCCATGCGACATGGGGTTCGGCAGCGCTGCGAGCGCGCCGCCGCGGAGGATCTTCCGGGGCAGGAGCTACAGGACTGAGCCTTGCACGATCCCGCGGGCAACGTCGGGGCCTCACCGTTGCCACCCCTGGGCTGGCGCCGCCGGCCTGGCGAGGCCCACGACGTCTCGGCGACGGTTGGGGGCCGGCGCCAGGGGCCGGACCGATCGTGGCCGACCCGAACTTGGGTTGCCGGGAACGTGTCGGGATGGCGTTGCATTAAGTCGGGCCTGCCCCTGACCAGGAGAGATATTCGAAAATAGTGAAAGCATCATATGGGGATGATTTTTATTAATTTTTGATTGGTTCGGGAATGCACACATACATACATCTATATCTATGTATATATACACATATATGTACATATATTTATATATACATGTTATACCAGTTTGAGGTTGTCGCCCAACATCTGACTGTAGGGGGACAGGCCCGACCTAAGCGTTGCAGTAAGGAACCGAACCTACTGGCCAAATCCGCCGCATGCGCGGTAGGACTTGGTCATCAGGAGGTCAGCAAATCATCGATATTGCCGAATTAACCACGCAAGGTGCCCGCCACTCGCATATCCCAGGCAGTGTTCATTCTATGACAGACAGCGCATTCGATACTAGAGGAAGCCAGAGAGTACAGACGGGGATGAAACAAACCCCAAGCAACGAAGACCTGCGACAGCAGTTGGAGAATGCGTCATCAGGTATAATGAATGATAGTCCGTTTTTAGGT